TTCAACAGAATTCATGCAATTTCATTCCTTAACTCGAGCTTTTCGCCATAAATGCAGTACACGGACCTTAACTTTTTTTTTTTTTTTTTAATATTCTACAATGCTCCATTGATTCTTCCTGGCCAACAACAGTCCGATGTCACAGACAAAGGGAAATGAATGAAATCTGACACATTTATTTTAAAGCCTGCAGCAGACTAAATTGTAAATAAATCCTCCTTTTTCTGCAGCACAAAGGTTGCAGACTGACTGTCCCTGCGGACTCTGCTCTCTTCTCACTCCTTAACAGACTTTCTAACGCTTTCTTTTGTCCTGATTGCAATCTCTCAGCAGTAATTTTGGCAGACACATGTATTATGTGTCAAAACTGAAGTGGAAATAACTGATGGGAAGCACAAAAATCTGATGGGAATAGTTATAATAAGGAAATGAATAAGCATCAAAACAGTAAAACATAACCATGAAGAGAGACAGCCAGAAAGCTTCTGAGCTGTTACTTGTCTAAGATGATCAGTAAAAGCCACTGTTTTCAGAGTTAAGATTACTTTGTATTAATACAGATAGCATTAACATATAAACTCAAGTATAGCATATTAATTTCCTCTATTTACATTCCTATTTAATACCGTTAGAAAGCAAAGCTCTCACAAGATGAGCTTTAAATGCGCTATAAAATGCATAGAGTAGATTAATTTATAGAATACTGGTTTATTTAGGAATCCACTGACCACAACTGGCACCTGGATACTATGTTTAGTATGCGTTACTATTGCACATCTGTTCCTGTAAAAGCGTTTTGGCTTAAACGACGTATTTTAACGCCCTCCATTATCTTTATACTTAAGCAGTTCTATTCACAAAACGTTCTGTTTAGTCAGTGCTTGTATACTTGGCGACTTAGTCACCACGCTTTTCAAAAACACTCATATAAAATGAGCTTATTATAGTCAACCTAGCTGGTATACCCATTTTGTTAGCAGCTATGGTTAACATACATGGTTAACACCATGCATAAATGGTGTTATTTATGCAATTTGTTTTTCACTGTGCATTTTTATTTCCCCTGTGAGACTAATATCTGCCTCATAACTAAAGGCAAATCACATGGCTGCTCACCTGCTAATGCTCCTCTGACCAGCAGCCACTTCGGTTCCTCTCTCCGTCACGCAGGGTCATCGCCAGCCCTTCCTCGGCGTTTCCTCCGCAGCACCTTCCTCAGCCGACGCTCAAGCCTGACTGAGGAACACAGCTCACCACCGTGGCCTCCTAAGGACAGCCACAGAGTCAGGGCCTGGAAACTCTCCATCACTTCGACTAACTTAAGAAAACAAATCATTTGGCAAGTGGAAACGTAATCTGGCTTTTTTTATGCTCAGTACGTGAGATCATATGCAAGAGGCTCTAAAGGTGCAGTTTTATAAATATATTGGGTACGCTATGTGGCTACAACGCCTCTGGAAACGCTGATGATTTCCCCGAAATGCGGTGATGATTTCTGCCCTAAATATTGTCTACGCCCTTCCAAATGCAGACTCTTCCTGCAGCAGGACTGGGACAGAACGAGCAAGAAGAAGCATTAAAGCCGGGAGGGGGGGACACACATGATGAGGAGAGCACATAATACACATCCGAAGGATTATCTGGGACACCCAGAATGAGAGGGAATTCAGAAACACATGACTGATCAGGCTGGTAGCTTCAGAATGATCACCAGGCAAAGATATTATCAGACCTTCAGAAAGAGCGATGGATGTAGACTCCAAAGGAGCAATGAAACAGGAAAAATAAATGCTCCCAGGAAGTACGATTTCAAGGACAGAGCCTTGTGCACTGGACCACCGCAAGCCTCGGCACACCAAAATTTCAAGCCCTGGTAGAACTGGGCTCCACCAAAAGTCTCATTCAGGAATCCCAGAATTAGCTGGAATTCTGCCTTCATGCAGCAGGAAGACAAATCGGTGTTTGGTTATCTTTGCGCGCATAATCCAGATTTCTGTGTTGCTTGTTTGGCTGCTTACTTCAGGGAAAGGTTATTTTTCAACCAACTAGAAATGGTATAGCCTAACTAAAATAAATAGCTAGTCCTATCTAGTCTCCGTTTGTGAAAAGCCTCTTTATTTTATTTTATTCTGTTCACAAAAGAATTCTAAATTCTGTTTCAAAGCATAAACTCTTCATTAATCTGTCTAGCTAGAACTGAAATTTAGGTCTAGAATATGGTTATGTGTTTTGAACTGATAGGAATCCCTTCTAATCACTGCTACTCTTTGACTTCCCTGATTTTGCTGTTCGCTGGACACTTAGTCAACCTCCAAGATAATGAATTCCTACAAAGTAAGACAGGTCACACTCGGAGCTATTACTTACTTATAATAATTCACAGAGACTAGAAATAACTTTATTTTCTGTACTTACAAGTCAAACAGGTCTGCTGAAAAGCAATTACAAACTCAACTTGCGGGTTCTTTTGCATTTACTGAAATGTGTTGATGCTGGAAATGAGTAAGCTCCCCATTTATTTCCAATTAAAACAAAGAATGGTATTTTTTAGCACTGGTCACAGCTCTGCGTTTCCTTACCCCCATTCTATGCTCATTTATCAACAGACGATAGAACAAGGCAACCTTACGTTAGGGATTAACTCTCACAAACTAACTACACTAAAGAAACTCTTATAAAATAATTTGTACTAAATTAAATATCTCTGAATTCAATAATTCTCAATGACAACATCTTATTAAACAAAATTGTAATAGTGATGAAGGTTCAGCTCCACAGAAGTAATGGCAAAATTTACAGAACTTCATCCTCAGACTCTATTCCACTTCTAAAACAGGGACAGAGGTATCAGTCCTGAAAATACTGCACCAATTCCCTTCAAAAATCACACTAAAGCAGCGAGTCAGATCTCAGCATACTACCTCAGATGAACTCAATTTTTGAGTTAATCTCAATGTTGACTTTTTTATATACATACATATATATGTATATATATTTAAGTTCAGTAGGAGTCAGAAGCCCAGCGTGCCGTGGTGCTGCCACTCTGGTGGAGGTCAGGAAGTGAAAGCACCGTTTCAGAATTCACAGGAAATGGTCATTTACCTTTAGTGGTCACACTAACGACAACTCAATTTTCAATTTTAGACTTCTCTCACTTTTCTTTAACTGCAGTCCCTAAAAGCTTCCCAAGAGAAACAGAGCATCAGCTAAAAGTCTAATACATACCTAGAAGGCATATCAGTAACAAATAGCGGGCAGAAAAAGATGGAGCTCTTCAAGAACTGTCAGTGGTGACGTTAAGTCTGCTCCCTTGCAATTTAACAGAAACTTTAACTTCCCCAGGAACACAGCAAGACCGTAATTCAATGGTTTTGATAATCTTTAAGATTTGGGAAGTCATACTGGAATTCCTCTGTGCCCATTAACTGATTTTATATCATATAAAAAGGTTTTCTCCTTTATTTTGGTTTTAAGCCATATGGGCATGACCGCTTTTCAACACATCGTGTAGGCAGAAAATAGAATCATAGAATCACAGAACGCTTTGGATGGAAGGGACCTTTAAAGGCCATCCAGTCCAACCCCCCTGCAATGGGCAGGGACATCCACAACCAGATCAGGTTGCTCAGAGCCCCGTCCAACCTGGCCTTGAATGTTTCCAGGGATGGGGCATCTACCACCTCTCTGGGCAACCCCTTCCAGTGTTTCACCACCCTCATCGTGAAAAACTTCTTCCTTATATCTAGTCTGGATCTACCCTCTTTTAGTTTAAAACCATCACCTTTTGTCCTGTTGCAGCAGGCCCTGCTAAAAAGTCTGTCCCCATCTTTCTTGTAGGCCCCCTTTAAGTATTGAAAGGCTGCAATAAGGTCTCCCTGCAGCCTTCTCTTCTCCAGGCTAAATGTTACGCTATCTGACATTTCACTGAGTGGCAAGAGTATTTTCTCCACAGAAAGGAACTCTTTATAATGATGTTCATAAGTAGTATTTAGTGGTTCTCCTATGGCAATAGGTTTAGATAAGACATGGACAAACCAGATTGTACGGTATACAGAAACTTCTCGGTACCAGGCAACAGATAAACACATACTAGATATAAAGCTGAAAGAAATAATCTATTTTGTTTCAGACTGGGAGTAGATCAATACAATACATCCCAATTTATAAAACATAAAATTATTTTTTAAAATTCCTGTTGAAGCTGTACTCTATATCAATAATATTACAACGATCAAACAGATACGGGAAAAAAAGTTAAATCTGCAATGCACTTGAATCCCAAAATTCTTACGTCTGTTCCACATAAAAATCAACAATTAGTAATATTGGCCAAGTGTTTAAAATTAAATCAAGCCCATGAATGATAGAAGAGGTAACCCTCAGAGGGTGTAATTGAGTTTGGCTCCTTTCTGGGGAAAAACACCTGCACATATGTTCTTGAATAAGAATCTTTCTTCAAAGGTTAACAGGAAACTTCAAGTTGATTCAAGGTAAATACTAGCTCCTGTTATCCAAGAAGATCAGAAATACAAATGCATTGGTATTGTTACGATGTTGTAACACATTACTGAATTATACAACAGTGTTATTTCCCAAAATTCCTATAACTTGTGTGACTTGATAGGGACACAGACGACTAATGACAATGCTCATAAATCAGGTAATAAAGTGCTTTCTTTACGAGCATCACAACCTCCGGTGTTTCCAACAGAAGTGTTTAGTAAAATGTTATTAAAGATGTTAACCTGCGAGCTGCTGCACCATAAACAAAACAGTCAGTAAAAACGCAGAAATACGATATTTAAGTCTTCCCACACAATTCTGCAGAAAAAAATTGCAACAAAACCCAGCAGTGGTACCTCATGTCTTTCTTTTAGCATAGTTTTGAAGTGTGCACTGAAGAGCTATAGAATAAACCTTCCAAGCTCTATTTCACATTAGTGATGTGCATTAAAATATCCACTCTTTTTTGACAAAGGATAAGGCTTATACCAAAAAACCACTGTGCTGCATATCTTTGGTATATTTATAGTGCAACTATTCTGTTTCACCTCAAGAGGGGAAAGTTTTTTCCAAAGCACTGCATCCCCTGCCACTGAGAACCTACTATGAACTCCTACATTCACTAAGACCCCAGACGCTAACCCACAGCTTTAAAGGAATGAAGAATGTGCAGTGAAAATAAGTTCTTCCTGTTTTTAAATATACTATTGAAATAAAATTAAACCATGCCAGATTTCACGTTAGAAAGTAACAGCACATTTCAATTCTCTTGCAAGAGTTCAGAAGCATACAAACGCGAGCATAAATTTCATGGCAATTTTTAACGACAGATATCCAAGGTGCTATTTGAAAACATTTGTAATTTAATTATTGTTAATCTAGATTTAGTCAACCTTTGTCTCTACAAAAAAGACACCTGTTTTTCATCTTGCTTAGATACTTAGAATTATTCAAAATGCATAGAAAGGCTAGAACGACTTAATTAAAATATATTGCAAGCATGTTTTTCTAAACTTATATTGCTAAAGCCTTGCTATATTCTAAGTTTTATTGGAGTTGGCCTTTAAACACAGTACCATGTAATCACACAAGCCTAGATATATACCTGTATTTCATACTGCTATTTGAGTAGGCATACCAACACACAACTATAGTACATATCATCCAGTGGCAGTGCAAGAAAATGTAGCGCCATCAAAATGCCATTTAATGATTTTTCAACTTCTGAACAACAACATTCTTTCTGAACAGGTCTGTCCAACCAAACTTGCATATTGCCGAACGCTGGCTTCGTCGCTTGGCCCCTTCCTTCTTTTCTTATACACGCTGTAAGGCATCACGGTTCTCTTGTGAAGTACTCTCACTCTGCCCAGTTCCTTAATGCGACCTTCATCAACTGCAAAGAGAATCAGAGAACACAAAAATGACTTATGGATATTGTCCATATGATCTTAATTTATGCAACTAACTTCAATATGCATAATGAAAACTGTAGGAAGTAATAAAACTAATCTGCGGATGAACTGCAGATGAAAGCAGAGCTGATCTACAGAGCAGTCTTCTTGAATCATAGCTGAAAACAAAACCTGGCCTGCAAAGTAACTGTATTTGTGGCGTGTGAAAAAATAAATCGTACATCGCACATTTCTAATGGTGATACATAGCATTTCTGAAAATACCTCTACTGCTGTATTTTAAAATTCACATTCATTTAATGCTCGCTGAGCCCACTGCCAGAAGTGAAACTCTAGCTGGGACATACTTTCAAACACAACTGACCAGAAGAGACTTGCTGTTATTGCCATACTGCACTTCATTGCTGCACCGCTTGCAAAATCCACCTGCACAGAGCACTCCCTTTCCCCAGTTGTGAAAAGTGTATTAAAACCAGCAAGAAGCCTCCACACTGTTTGCCTTAGGTACGCATCAGGCAATAAACCACCTTCCCAGGTGAAACTCCCTGGCCCTCCAGCCCCCATCTTTTTTTCCTCATTTATACCAGTTTCTGAATTTCTCTAGTAGAATGAAGTTAAATACTGACTTCAAGTCTGATCCCTAAGTTCTGCAGACCGACAGAGTTAGCAGTGCAAGCACTAGCTGGGTGGGCACGACATAATTCCTCAAGCTTTCAAAGATATGCATGCCGTAGTTGAATCTTATTAACCTCACCTACAGACCCCTTGTGACTTAATTTAACCAGAATCATACACATAAGAGCATCGTTGAACAAGTTAAAACTTCCTTATTTTTATGAATCCAATTGATGCTACTAATGCAGAATAATAATGTTATATAGCCACTGCGTCTCAGAAAAATTGGCCCTACAGTGCTAGAAAACTCTTTAAAGAAAGTGAGAGAACATGCCACACGCCTAAGGCCATGGCAGGATAAATTAATAAAATTATTATAAAATACCAGTAAAAGAAATCTTGGAGTTTTCTGAACCACAGGTTTAAAAAGCCACCAATGTAAAAGTCAACTTAAACACAGAAGCTGAAATATGAGTTTGAGAATAGAACCATATAAATTCAAATAGTAACAGAGATGCTTACTAGGAGGTCAGCATCTGGGGACGTAAACTATGCAAAGACTCAGTCTTTTTTCAGCATCAGGACATTATTCTGACTGAAGAGACAGAACAGGTAAGTATAATTACTTAGCTTTAAGTACTGCGTCAATCTGCCCCAAATTATAATATTTTATATGTTCATGTACTTGCTTCGTTTAGGTTAGAACATTTAAGGCTCCTTGAACAGGATCTGAATGGTATCCACTCTACACCGTTCTCCGCTTACAACACATGCAATGAAGCCTTCTGCTGATCATCGGTTGACTCAAAATCAAACCAACTGCTGTGGAAAACCAGGTAATTCAAATAGCTACTTCACAGGCAAAAATAAGGTGTTTTTTTTTTTAATAAGAGAATAAACAGAGGTAGAACTTTCCCAGGAAGTTTCAGAAATAGCAATAGATCCAAAGTGCAGAGGATATGACACCAGCTCAGGGAAGCAACCTGGTCACCAAGTCCTGTCTTACTTTTTCTTTTTACATACCTGAAGCTCACTAGGCTTGCCACCGGTAAGCTAAGCAACTTGTCTGGAAGAATCTGAAAAAATCTTTAAGACAAATCTCTATTCAAATTAGCCCTCACTATAGAAAAGCTTAATATTCTTTATGCTTTATTAAAGACAAAGGAGGTCATTAAATGCTTTTCTTTGCCAGACATTCTTAAGACCCTGCCTTATGCCTTATAACCGTTTTTCTGTGGATTGCCTGAATTTAGTATGTGAAACTTAACGAAGCCTGCTTTACAAAGTTTAGAATGACTTCATTACTTTTATCTATGTTTTGACTCCCAACATGAAAGCACAATGTATTTCTTATGATTTAACTAGGAAAATGTGGTTTGAAGGAAGCGAATCTGAATAGTACCTGCTAAGATTGCATTCTCTACTAATTATTGTTGGCAATTGCTTTAAACACCCAAGTCAAAAACACTTTATGGCTTTCTCTCCCTCTTTGAAATCCATTACGTTTTTGATGTGTGGCCAACACCTTTCTAATATCCCAATAGGTTGTTTTTACTACCAGCCCTACTGCCTCTTCTATTACGTCCTCCTCATTTCTGAAAGTTCACCAAGGAAAAATTTGCAAGTTTAGCTTCTGGAGGTGACACAAGTGTAAAGTTATTTTAACTTCTTAAATTTGAAAGTTCGTATTTACTGCACCTCTAGGCTGATGGTAAGTTTGTGTCCTGAAATGGATTTACACCAAGCCTAGCCTTCGTAGTCTCATGCCAAAAGCACTTTCAAAGCCGCTCACTACTCACTGTTTGATACTCATTGCTTTCAAATAATACTGAAGCCTGATACTCTGGATGAGTTCATCTTTTGGCTTGTAGTGTTCCTGGCCCCAGATTCAATTTCTTACAGTAACTAAAGCTACTGTACCTTCAGTTTCTCTGAGCCTTACTGCCTCAGCTGAACTCGGTGCTCGTTGCTCAGCATTTATACCCTTACTCCACTTTCACTCATTACATCAAGCGCAGTCGGGGCATTATCCTTCTTGCCATCAGGCCCATGCTAGCTCTAGCTGTGCAGCTATATGAAACAGCTATTATGACGAGGCTCCTAGCAAATTTGTTAAGCACGACAGCCAAGTGTTTTCTGGGGAGAAGTAAGGCTTGCCAAACCACACTGTAGACCAGTCCTTTCTTGGACCACGGCACAGGTTTATAACGCAACCCTCAGGCAGAAGAAGGCTCTCCCAGAGCAACTGAGAAAATACCAATATCTTGAAAAAAAATCACTGTAATATGAATACTTCAGGCATGTTTTAAGCTTAACACAGACAGTATAAACTACATATATAAAGACTTGGTAATGAGTTTATCATCAGGAAAAGTTTAAACCCAGATATGTTTGGTTTTACAAACTTACATTTGATTGACTGTATTTCTGTTTCTTCTACACATTAAGGTTGATTCCAGATTCTTCAAATAAGGTTTGAAAGGCAGAAAAATAACGGTCCTTAAAACTTCCAAAATGTCTTTACAAAGATGACCTGTTTTAGTCAACATTTTTCCATTGACTCCCTCCAATCAAAATCAAAAGTTTAATCATAAAAATAACCTTCTGTAAATGTACTTAAGTATATATAATTTAAACTCCATCTGAAAAAGAACCCTTTTACTGAAATGTTAAGTATCAGTAAAATAATCTCAGGTACATAGTTAAGCTTTTAGAGGAGGCAAATAGGAACTTGTGTCACCATAATAACAAATCCCTAAGTTAAAATTCAGCCACCTTTCAATTGCTACTGCTCTGGAGGCAACACCACATGAATTCAGGAAAGTACTCCCTTTGCTCGTGGTTTTAACCTAAGCAGAATGGCTTTAAGAGAATTTAATGGCAAATAAAAACAGATTGAACTCCAGTATTGTTTAAAAAAGAAACTACCTGCCCCCCCCCCCCGAAAAAAAAGAAAAATTAAATATCTGCTCCTGCTCAGTGGCACATGATAAAGTTTGCTTTATATTTAAGAAGATGCCAACTGACTTCTAACACCCCTTCTCTGTGTGACCGAGGCTGGGATACAGCAGCTGGGAGCAATCCCAATTGAAAATGAGATCATATACTCTATTTAATGAAATTACTTGTTGAAAATAAGAAAAAACATCTTATTTCAATAAGTATTATTTCCGTGCTTTATTAAAGCAATTTCAGTTAGTGACTTCTATTTCTGGAAGGACTCAGGCTGATCAGATAGTAGAAAAATACCATAGGGCAACTTTAATCATCATTCTAAGTACTGAATGCAATATTGTCACCATTAAAAAGCTAAAAAGCAGCTTATTTTTTCCTCCTTACACTTTCTCATTATATATCCTGAGTCTCCCGCTGACCTCTGCTTCTCCTTACAAGTAGCTGGCACATTAATTTATAGAAATCTCAAACCAGAGAAAATCATGGGTTTGAAGACAAAATTTCTTTTGCAAGTGCATAATTCTTGGATGTCTCATCAAGTTATCATTTACAGCCAGTTAATTTTCTAAGGCTTGTTTCTTTAGCCATCACCCCAGTCCAGCCCTGTATGACTAAGGCCAGACCTTGTACGCCACAGTTTCAAGGACTGTGCCACGCAGCTCACGTGGTAAATTGCTTCTTAAGAATATTGTAGAAACCATCCTCCTCTAAGTCCACATTTTGTTCATTTGAGCAAGTATCACTGAGTCCTGGGACATATTTTTATGGTTTTTTTACAATTTTTTACCATTTATCTATTTCTGTGCATTCTCTCCTGACACCTCCGGAATCACTTCATCTTTATCATTCAAAATGACTGGATTTGGTGGAAGCAGTTCTATGAACAAAGAGCATTATAAAGGAGCAATAGTACTATAAGGCGGTACAGTACTACTAACGTCCGCTTGAATTCTTGGGACTTTGCCTTTGTATCTGTGAAGATTATCTTCTCAGGGAGCTGTTGATTAATTGTAGCCTACAGAAGACACACTGACACTTCACATATAAAACAGACAAGATTTAACCCCATAGTTCGGTTACATGTATCAATATAGTTTGGGTGGTAGATACATAAAAAAACCTAAACTTCAGAAAAGTCAATTTTGCAGATTGAAAGTACCTGTCATTTTAGGGAACTGAGCAACTGTGGATGCCACCTGTCTGTCTTTACAGAAATATCATCCTGTAAGTCTCAAAGCTAAAAAAAACCCCACCTGAATTCTTGTTGCATAAATTAACTGTCACTTCTTTCTCTTCTCCCCTCTAGTCCTAAACCAGCGAATTATTTATACAGCATTCATCTACTGAAATTTGACTATAGGAGAGATTTTGTGTATAATTCAACCTTGCCACTGTGATCCCATAAAAAAAT